TCATTTGTATATTAATGCACTACAATATGTCAGTAAGCTTATTATTAGTCATAAAATATATTGTTGACTCATGCACTCCTACAGATTTGTGCCTAAGAGCACAATAATTTAGGTATGTCAAGTCTTTTAACACCTCTTTTCCAGGTGTATCTTCAGACAGGTTTCACTTCTGATTCCCTGTTATATTTTACAGGGTGACTGATGTCAGCCAGAGAAAGGCTTTGAGTTTGTTAAAGGAAGATGCACTAGTGAGAGATTTAAATTCTTTTTTCTCTTTGTGGTTATGACCTGAATATTATTTACTAATGGCTTATGCAGGTGGGAAAATCGTTCAAGTCTGCCTCAGTTTTCTGTCTGGCTTAAACAATCATATGCTGTGAGGTTTCCTCAGGTCATCCACTGGGGTTTATACAGAATCATAGAATCATTTAGGTTGGAAAAGACCTTTATGACTATCACATCCAACCATTAACCCAGCACTGCCAAGTCCACCACTAACCATGTCCCACAGTGTGTCATCTACATGTCTTTTAAATACCTACAGGCATGGTGACTCAACCACTTCCCTGGGCAGCCAATCCAAACCTCCCCTGGTGCAATTTGAGGCCATTTCTTCTCATCCTATTGTTTGTTACTTGAAAGAGGAGACTGGCACCCACACCTTCACAATAAATGGTCTAAAAGATAGTATAATTCAGTTGCAAACTTTAAAAATTTAAAAACATGACAGGACTGGTTCAAGACCAAGTGAATGTTGGCAGGTGTTTCCTACAGTGGTTTAAATAAGCTTAGCTATACATTTAACACCAGTGTCAAAAACAGTGAGCAATTTTAATTCTGTGGTAAATTTTAGCCTTCTAATGTAATTTTCACCTCAGTAGGATGAATGTGAGGTTTCTCATGGAATAGAAATTAGGGTCTTTTGCTTAAAACTTAATACTTCAGTCATCAACAAATTGCCAGTAATTGTTTACTACACATAAGAAAGATCTCTTATAGGAATTTCTTTGTTGTAAATAAGCATCTCTTTATGGATTAAGACTAGAATGAAAAACTGAAAGAGATTTAAAAAAAAAATAATTCAGTTTCACAAAGACAAAAATTGTCCATGACAGTTTCCTGGTTACTTGAGAGCAGCTCAGGGCTTTGCAGCCTGACTAGGGCATGTGAGAAAGGTTAGGGAAGATACATGGCTACCTTATGCTGTTCTGGTGGTACAAGGCACCTATAAACCTTCACCTTGCTCTTGCGTTCCAACAAATCTTTCCCTTAGAAACTAAAACTTGTACAAAATGGTCCATCTGCATTAAAACAGTTCAAGAAAGATCCACATATTTCAAGGAAATTTATCTTTTAGACATTGAAATCATCTCTATTTAGCAGAATCAACAGGGAGAAAATGGTGACAAAAGCATTATTTTGCAATACGTCTTCTGGAATCCAAACACTGAAATGCCTGTATACTATCAACTGTGCTATCACTAGAAAAATAACTGCATGGTCATGGTACTCAGCTTTGGAGGAACCAATTTTCTTCGTTCTTTTGCCTTCCCCAGACTACCCTTCAAGCCCCGTCGTTCCACCATATCTTGAATGAAGAGCTACTAACTCTAAAAGTGTTTGTTTTGGGTTTTTTTAACCAAATTCTTGCAGAAATATGAAAGTGTAACCAGTCTTTCAGTGCAACCATGAGGGAATGATCCCTTGTTTCCAGGATGGAATTTCTGGCTGTTCTGAAATTTTCAATTTTCAGCCCATGTCCCAGGGCATTCACAGATTATGCAGGAAACAGTTCAAGTGCTTATGCAAACAGAAAATTTCCAACAGCTCCAATTTCAGAATAGTTCACAGCCAATACTTTCTGGCAACACACAATTTGATACTTTCATCTCTATAGAGCAGGGGAAACGATATAAGATTGTCCTTCTCTAAAAGCACTATTCTGTGTCAGTTTGTGTCCTCAGTGATTTGAAAACTGTCAAATAAAAGACACTGTATCACTGAAAAGTCTTGAATGACCTAATTGTGTAATGGAAACTTTTAGACATCAGGAAGTACTGCAGGATGGGATTGCTGTTTTCCTCACAGGTGGACCTGGGATGCAGAGTCATCATAGCTGTGGCAGGAGTGGAGATGGGCAGGAGGACAAAAGCAGATGTGTTTCTGGAAGGGCAGAATTAACAAGCAAGAGAAAGACAAACTATATACATGGATTGTGGAATAAGTAAGATATGAGATACAAGTCACTAGGCTTCAGATAGGAGCACTTTCAAGCAGCATTGTATACAAATGCATGATATTTGATTTTGACTGAACAAAAGCTCCTGCAACCAGGGGGCTAACAAATGGGCTTTGTGCACAATACATTTATGTACTGAGTTGGCACCATTATAATAGACTTCACAGATTTAAGGTCCATTTTTAATTTGGGTATTAACATACTTAGGACACTGTCCTATTTCATATTTTTTGCTATTCATCTTTATTTATCTGATAGGCTTTTGGTATGAGCTTTGGGATACTTTTCAAAACAATTATGTTCTGAATGACTAATATGTCCTGTTAGCATTCTTATTATTTCCTCCTTCTGTAATATTTTCTGTGAAAATGTAGCAGTTTTCCAGTTAAGTGCTCTAAGTTTGCACCATGTATTTCTAAAAATTGGAACTTTTATCTGATGCCTTCTATCTCCAGTATTGCTTATATTAGAAACCAAAGAAGCATGAAACCTGCACTTTTGAAACGGAGTCTGACTGAAATGTCAAAAGAAAAACTATCTAGTTACAAGACAGTGAGAGAAACATCTGAGATAAAATTTGCTAATTTTATCCTGGAACACTCTTCACAATGAAAAAAAATATCTGCTGTGAATAGATCAGTTTTTAGGCACAACAACGTATGTGCCTGAGTAAGAAAGTAGTTCTGTTTTCTTTTACATATATCTGCTGGGTATTGAAAGGAGATAACCATCATCTCAGTATTTTTGAGTACAGTGGGCTGCATTCAGTGTTCAAACAATATAGAATTTCACATGAAGAAATTTCTTGCTGAAAGAATTAAATCACTGCAATTTGCTTCATCAATTTACTATTGATTCATACTCCTCAGAAGAAACTGCTAACATACTATCTCTATGGTCTCTGTTTTAGCACAGTCACCTAATCATACTATCCATAGGGTCTCTGTTTTAGCACAGTCACCTAATCCAGAGTTTCCACATAGTGCCTATGATCCAAGTTTTCTTGTTTAACCTAATGCTGTTTTATGTGGTCTTTATGTTGATTCAAGAGGAACTTAGTTTAAACGTGGCAGCATGGTGGTCCTTTCACTCATATAATAGTTGTGTTATGAAGAATTTTCTGTGCAAAGCTACATAGGGTCTCTGTTTTAGCACAGTCACCTAATCCAGAGTTTCCACATAGTGCCTATGATCCAAGTTTTCTTGTTTAACCTAATGCTGTTTTATGTGGTCTTTATGTTGATTCAAGAGGAACTTAGTTTAAACGTGGCAGCATGGTGGTCCTTTCACTCATATAATAGTTGTGTTATGAAGAATTTTCTGTGCAAAGCTATACCTTCTGAGAGTGTTCTTCTTTAACTCCCTGAGTTTTAGAATAGACTTTCACTTTTCTGTTTTTGAAAAAATGGTCTATTGAAAGCAAAACAGGTTCTAGTAAATTCTCTTCTCATGTTCTGAATTCTAAGGACAGGAGTGTTCAAGAAAAGAGTCTCCATTATTACCAATTATTCTAAACTGTTCAAAATTCTTATGGATCCTTTGATTACACTATAATTTAAGAGTGAAAAAAACCCCACTAACAGAAAGCAGTTGCTTTTATGTTCAATACCTCTGTTAAAATATCTATTAGCTTTTCTGTTTTTCTTCATTTGCAGGCTTATGATGAAGAAATGTATGGCAGCAAATATCAGTGGATTATTCCAGGGTGGTATGAAAACCGTTGGTGGGAATCCTGGATTAATTCATCACAGTGCCTCAGCAAAAATCTTCTTGCAGCCATGGAAGGTTATATTGGAGTGGATTTTGAGCCTCTCAGCTCAAAAACAATGAAGACTATATCAGGAAGGGTTAGTATTTTTACTCCATCTATTCTATTACGCCATCAGTTGTCTCACCTGTGTGCTGACATAATAGAACACCAAGGAGGGAGGTGAAGCTAAAGGGTTCTTCTACCAAGAGAGGTGGCAGTCATCATGGTTAGTCTCATCTTTCCACTGGTTTGGAATTTTTAATTATTTGAAAATCGATTCCAGTTCTCTACAGAGTAAGAAAGCAGTAAATTCCCTTGCTTCAATTCTGTCCTCTTCCCCTCTATGAACACTATAGTTCTGTACATTAAAGCTTCAAATATAGTCTACAGTATCATGTGCTGTGTCATGTCAAGTTAAATAGCTGAGCACAGAAACAAAAATTTTTTATATTTAAACCTATTCCTACAAATGGCTAATTTCAAAGGTGATTTGTGCCTCTCAGAACCAGGGGGCAGGAGATGAGGCTAGTTTTAAACATATAAATATGTCATATTTCCATAAAGCACTTCGCATTTTATCACAGAACAAATTTGTACAAAGTCTGACCAATGAATAAACATGCCTAATTTTGCTGCTTTTCATCTTTTTTTTCCATCTGCCTTTCCTGCCTTGCCTTGTGAGCATGAAAGGCAAGTTTACTGAAAGGCAACTCATCATAAGATAGCACACCGTAAAGAACATAGTGAACTTGTAAAACAGAGACAAATTGCCACTCAGATAATTTCATATTAAGCAAATGGTTGCTCAAGTAAAGGTTATTTGATTTGCATTATCCTATAAAGGGTAATCAGACCACTAATTTGTAAGGATACAGATTTATTCTCTGTCCTAGTATTATGGCTCACCAATACACTGGTAGCTTTGAGCGAACTGAAGCCTTTTGCACAAAAGCAAAATAAAGCAAGTTGTCCTCTGTACAGTGAAGCAGCACAGTTGCTTTCAGTCTCTCTAAGTCTGCCTCCCAGTCTCACCAGCAGTCTTGTAAATCATACAGCACATGTTTTTTGAATTTTAATTTCTTTTATTATTTTTAGTTTGGCAGTCTTTTCTGTATTAGTCATGCATGTGTCTAAATTGGAGGGTGCAGTTTAGGGATTGGTTTGGATGCAACTCCGTAAAATAATAAGTATTGAGGTAAAATTGAATTTCATCTCCTCTGCAGACTCCACAGCAGTATGAAAAGGAATACAATGCTAAGCGTGGTGATGGGCAATCCAGCAAATTTCATGGTTATGCCTATGATGGAATATGGGTGATTGCCAAGACCCTGCAACGGGCAATGAAGTATCTGAATGCCACCAACAAGCACCAAAAAATTGAAGATTTTAACTACACAAACCACAAACTTGGCAAAATTTTTCTGGATGCTATGAATGAAACCAACTTCTTTGGAGTAACGGTAAGTCCTAATCAGATAATTGTGGGGTGGAGGAAGCTTGTGCTTTTGTGTCAGTAGTTGAAACAAGCATTAAATATTAAGTACTCTTGAAAAAGAAACACAGTTGTTTCTTCTATCTTCAGAGATTCCACAGTTCTACTTTATATTAAAAATTAATGTTGTTGCCTCGAGACCCTTGCTCATTACCTGCCTTCTGATGCCAAGTGATGACACTGTACAGCTCCTCAGTTATCAGGTTTTTACGCATGAGCATCATCTGAATTAACAACTCAGAGTGGTCTCAAGGGAGCCACAGGTGTTCCAAGCTGCAGTGACCTTTTAAGTGAATGCTTTAGCAGTTAAGGCCTAGCCAGAATGTGAACTGAAATACCTATTTCCATCTGTCATTTATATTTTGTTATAGGTAATAATAAAGTAATGTCTCCAGCTCCAATGCTGTACATCCTAGATATTCTAGCAGCATACTTAAGTATTTATAATTTTATTTTTTTATTATTTACATTGCTTCTGGTTTTTAGCAGACTAAAACAGGCGATAGGAGTGTGGCCTTAAAAGTTCTTAACTGCTTAATTGTATCTAAGGCAACATCAGTCAGAATTTAACAGTGCATATGCGCTCATGAGTCTGCAGAACTCATCAGGAGAGATGAGCAGACTTCATTTCAGGGAGAATGGTCTTCAGGGTTACCAATAGCAGCAAAGAGCCTACTGGAACATGCTTTGTTAAGCAGTGTACTTGGACTGCAACATAACTACATAAGGAAAAACATTTTGAAGAAATTTGTGCTTCAGTGGTGCATAGAGGGAGTGCTTTTAGGCACCTCCTTGCAGCAAAAGCATGGAGAAGGTTGGCAGTAGCTGGTCAGATTCTGTTCCCATGTTATTTAAATTGTCTTGGATATTAATTAAGCTCAAAACATATTGAAGTAGCAGAACTGAGGTCATCATATATATCAGAAATTGGTTCAAGGAGTAAATGCCTGTATCTACACATCAGCAAAGTGTGAAGGCTCAACTTTTTGGATGTTCTTGTTAATTGCTGAAAAAGCCTATGTTTTGTGTCATGGTACAATTGAAACTAATTTAGTATTTGTAAGTGAAAACCACATGGCAAGACACTACTAGCATCTAGTTGCTTGTACAATACAAATTTTGCTCTCATTTTATACTGAATTTGACTGAAGTTTTCAGTAAAAGGATTTGGTATCCCATTGCATCCATAGTAGGATTGTATCTTTGCTAAAGATTTTAGTCAGTATCGGCTATGAACCAGACTCTGCAGGGTTTCAGATATATCTGTCCTGAGTTATTCCAAGTACAGTATCTATCAGTAGGCTTGAAATTGCATATTGCTGTGTAGTTCTTTGTTGGTGTTTTTTGGGGTTTTTTTTGCTATGGTTCTTCGGGGTTTTTTCTGTCGCTGTCAGCCTTTTTGCCTGCTGTTTAGTTTTGCAGCCACTTATGGTAAAATTGATAGATTTCATTAGCACTGCTTAATTGCCCTTCACTGCTCTCCCCCCTAAAAAACCAACAAAACCATTGCCAAAATCTCTAAGACAACGAAAGCTCTTTTTTATTAGTTTCAGAGACACCAGCAAAATCTCACATGCATCCCTTTAGGGAGGGAATGAATCAAAGCTTTCACCAAACATATTCAGCCATGTTTACTTACTTTATTCTCTCAGCTATAATGGTTTTAAGAGAAATTACTGCATGATTATTCACAGTATGTAGTGCCTGTCTCAGGTGCTTTGTAAAGTGTTTCCCTTTAGCATTGGTCTACCAAGTCATAATGACAATGCACAGCCCAAATCTGGTATTTGCAAGAATTGTGCTTCTTGTAAATCACAAAAGCATTTTAATGAGAAAGATATGGGCAGAAGAAAATCTATAGCAGCTACACTTTCTTAGGATATAATTAGAACAAATGATATTTAAGGTTTTCTAGACAGTGTGAAGAAAGAGTTTGAGAGTAGTTATTAAATGTTTTGCATTGAAGTATTCAGAAAGTTGAAGGAACAGATGGATTCTTACCAGAAATATTTTTACACTTTTCATTCGGTCTAATAAATTTTTGTCATTTGTGACCTAATTTAAAACTTTCACTGGACTATGTGTTTTAAGTCTTAGAGTGCCAAATCTAATTTTAATGGATGGTTTTTTCAGAAAGAGTATTTTAGTGTAAAGTTTTTATGGTTTATTTTTAAAAACTGATTCTAAACAGGAAAAGGACATTTCTTTATTCAAGAGTATCCATGTCAAATATAAAGTGAGTTTCTGAAAAAAAGAAGAAATAAAAAGAAAGACTAAATCTTACCAATATTGAAAAATTTATCCAATAATATAGTAAACTGTGTTGTTATTTATTAGGTGAGAGAAGCTAGACAAGAAGCTGTAGATAAGGATCCAAAAATGCAAAATCTATTAAGTAGAAGCATCTTTATGCTTTCTGTGAATATGATATCAGAAAGGCTGTCATATCATAAATAATAAATCCCTTTACCCAGTTTTCATTTTCTTTGAAATATTTATAGCAAACCACAAAAAATACGATCACTGTTGAGTGGGTTTTTTTGTGGAACTTTTTAGCAATTTTGAAGACTCATTGGGAGTGAATGTGCTAGTTCCTGATTATACAGAATGTCATTCTTTCAATTTTCTCTTTTTTAATTTTTTTTTTATTCTTATTTTATAGGAGGCAACATTTAGAAAACAGTTAAGGCTATTGCCCTGAGACTTGACATGACTAATCCTATTTTTATGCATCAGAAACTCAGTACATAAATGCTATTTATTCTAATTCTGCTGTCAGAAATCTATTGGAAATAAAATGATAGCTATTCCTTAAATATTCCTGAGGGTTCTGCTCTTTTTCTGGACTTTTTTTCCTCTTAGCAAATTGATTCCTTCTGTTATTTTTACCCTGTGCTTATCTGACTTATAGTCATGTTGATTACCATATAAATTTCTTGTGTATGTTGAATACACAGCAAGGAAACATAAATTTGGTGTTTTATCAGAAAACGGTAATACAGTTGTCTGCTACACTTTTTCAGAGAGAGTCTGGGTACTGTTTTACAAGTACAAAAGGATTTCGTGATGAGAAATGCAATACAAACAAACAGAAGACCTGCAGGGGTGTTCCTACAGTTTTGTTAACCTGAATGTTCTAATTCTGGAGTCAAATTCACTGATGTTAGCTGTTTTTGAGTTGTGTAAGGCATTGTTGGTTAGAACAGTCCCTCTACAATAACCTGACAGGAGTCCTTTTGATCTGGGACTAGCTTGGCTTTCACGGTTTACATTTTTCTAATTCCTTGGTTATCAGAGCACTTAATTATTTATAAATGGGAAAGTTATGGAAGTAAAATGCCTTAAAGGATTTTGAACATTTTTTTCACTTTTCTTAATCCAGATAAAAACATGTATAAACTGAATGCAGCGCTATCACCCTGGTGGTTCATAAAGTGCCAGGTGCCTGTTTCCTAGCTAAATATATCCCTCTTCTCATACAGTACACATTCTTTCTGATAATCTAAGTGTCAGAAAATGAAAGATAAGAAAATAGGTATTCACAGAATTTATCTGACACAGTTTAGATGTCTGTAGAGTTGCCTTACGTAGATGGTTGAGACACTGCAAGGTCTACTGAGGTCTCTGTTGAAGTGTTACTACTTTGAATCACTACAGAGTGATAGAGTGATAGGAAACAAAATATATATATGGAATATCTATATATCTGTATTTCAATTATCTGGAGTTTATAGCATGCTACCTATCACATGCCCATCATGTATGTGTGAAAGCAAAAGAAAATTTTCCACAGAACTAGAATAATTCTCTACTACCATAATAGAACTTGTAGTTTTAATAATTGGCGAAGAATTAATGCTGTCTTCTCAGGATACCAAGTCATATTTAGTGCATATTGAATCAAAATCCATGTAGAGAATAGAAGGATTTTGTTCTAGTTATTCTTTTTCCTTTTTTTCTCTTTGTAGAGACTATGGGTGACTACATAGTAACTTACAATTACAACAATGTTTATATTTGTTAGCAAAAATATATTGGTTATGCTTGCAAAGATGTCATCAAGTGGTTTGGGTTGGAAGGAACCTTTAAGGTCATCTAGCCATGGGTAGGAACACCTTCCACTAGACCAGGTTGCCCAGAGCCCTTGGTCTTGAACACTTACAGAGATGAAGCATCTACAACTTCTCTGGGCAACTTGTTCCAGTGCCCCACACCCCTCACAGTGAAGCATTTCTTCCTACTATCTAATCTAAACTTACTCTCTTTCAGTTTGAATCAATTTCCCCTTGTCCTGTCACTACATGCCTTTGTAAACAGCCCTTCTCCAGTTTTCTTGTAGGTCCCTTTTAGGTACCGATAGGCTGCCATATTAAATATCACATTTGGTCTCAGAATGGTAAAAGTTTATATTGGCTCCATGGGGTAGCCAGGTGGCAGGAAAATTGCAATGCATGTTGGAGGTAGTTTTTAATTTTTTAAAAATGTTTTTCTTTAATTTTCTGTTCACTTCACCTTTACCACTGATGTGAAGTCATGAATGTTGCCATTTTTGCTGGTTTATGGCTGAAGTCTTGTAATGGTTGCATTTGGGTATTCTGCTCCTTGCATTTATTTCTATTACCTATAAATCAGGTTTCAAAATTGTTAATTTATTTCTCATCCTTATGACCTTCTATTATTTCTGTGTAATGGAAAAAGAATTACAGTGGAGGAGAGAGAAAATTAAATACAGTGTTGTCTTTTCCTTTTATGTCAGCCAGAGACTCTAGCACAGTGGGATAAAATTCCATCACGGTAGCTGCTGCACAATTGAAACCACAGCCATGAAATAGCTTTCAAGTCTGTCCCTGGCATCCTGCATTTGAATGGATCCAGTCATGTTTCATAACTGGAAAATGCTTATTTATGTGAAGTTCACTTTGTATTTCAATGATGATTATTTCTGAAGATTTATCTTAGCAGCTTAAC